GGACTTTTTTCCAGTTTTATGAAAACGAATATTCAGATAATTTTCAAGCATATTTGTATCAATCATGCAAATAAATGATTGATTCACAACTTTTAATCCTGGTAACACTGAAATATTCAGGAACGATGTTTCTTTCACTTGGAAGCTCCAATTAGTCGTGTTTGCGGCTGGGATACACCATTTCCGCATATTTTTGAACCCTTTTATCTGCCGACGAAATGGCGCATAATAGAAGCAATTAAAAAATTAATCGATTTTCAACACTGATTTTTTTTTTCAATGGTATTGTAGTTTTGTTAATCTCGATGATTAGTTTGCTACTGAAATGTTCACTTATCCAAGATTGATAATAAGGAGAATTACTTCTAAATGTTCCAATTAATTTAGAACTTGATTTTCGAGTGGACTGATGACGAAGTTTTTTTCAGAAGTATTTGATGTTTAAACATAGTCTAAATTTTCATTTAAATTCGATAAATTCTGAGTAATATTTTACTACGTATTCTTGTTATTTTAATCACTAAGAATTAGCTATTTCATTTATAACTTTCAGTTATAAATGAAATAGCTTTTTGCGTCCTGTTTGTATGATGTAATGATTTAATTCATCATTCTTCCTGTTAATTTTTTTAGAATTTAAAGTCTTGCAAAGTCGCTACAAAATCACTGCTTAAAAAGGCACATAAAGTTTAAATACTTAAAATTAACAGGGAGGATAATCTTCAGTATTAACTAATTTTTCAGCTAAATTTCAACATTTTTCTCGAAAATAATTTTTCAATTTTGTTTACTATATTCATTTTTGAAGTACTCTGTCATATTTGTAACTATCACCGTTAATTGTTCTTCAAATTCATCCATAAAATCATTTCCTTTTCATCATTTTTTTCAAAAAAAAAAAAAGAAAACTTCCAGTATTATTCGTTTGTCTTTCTTTTGCAGCAATGAACATAAGCTAGAACTACATGTCATTTAAGTTGTTTTGATGTTGAAAGCATTTTTTCTTTTCAATTTTGTTCCAACCCATTTTCATTCATTTCAATTTTTTGGTTCTTTATGAGACTTAAAAATAATGAGATAAGACAAAATGAGTAACAATGTAAGCTAATGATGGTAACCATCCACAACTATTTATCATCACGTCGGTATTTAGGATTCAAAATCTATTAATCACATTTTTTTTAGAATTGAAACCAATCTAAACTTCAATCTTATTCTTTTTAAAATTCCGAAGAACGTTCCGAGGAATAATTAATTGTTAACTCAGTGTTCATGTATTCAAGTATTATTAGTGCAGTACTTCATCTTAATATTTCGAATTAACATTTTATAATTAAAATATATAATAAATTTTGCTTTCATATTTCTACACACTTCTACTTTCATCAAAAATTTATGAAAGTTCTAGGAAAGCAACTTATTTGACCGGATTTTTTATTCAAACATGTGGAAAAAATATAACGTATAGGAATATTCCAGCGAGGTTTACACCTATTTATTTTTAAAAATTTAACTGAAATGATTTGGGAAGTCGGACAAGCAATTTTACACATGTCATCATCGGCTTTTCTTCAAATTTTGTAATGATGAAAAGTTGCTTAAAAAGGAAAAGTTTTCTAGATGAAAAACATCGGAAGTTTTTCATTTCTTTTAAAAAGAATGAGAGATCAAATTTGGTAGTATTTAAATAAACAGAGCTTATTCTTGCCTGTGTGTAGTTAGTGATAATTGTTGACATCATTCTCTTACTTACCCGCCCGTCCCTTGCTAGATGTAATCATCCGTGAATAAAAGCTCTCATGCAATGAAGCTTTTATATTTATTTTTTCTGCTCTCAAAAGAGGAAAAAAAAATCACTTTTTAATGAAAGAGCTCTCTTTGCCATACGTCATTGGCCAATATTATGCTAGGCTTGGACTTAGCAATAGGCATTTTACTCTTTACTCTCCCCAAGTCCTTCAAGGGCACAAATAGACAAGCATTCTCCGTTCGTTCAGAATATTCAATACGCCCACGTGTTTACTTGATACATGCAATTCTCAATTGAGATAAAGTTTATAGAAATACGCAAATATAATGAAAGCAAATAAACAAATGCCTCTTAATTTCACTTCTTATAAAGATATCAGCAAGATTTCCTGTCCCCCTTCTGACTAGAAATGTAATGAGTGTACCTTTCCTTTTGTATAGATTATTCTGAGCTCTTTGCAAATTTGAGATTTGAAATTTAATTATCACAACAATGAATCAGATTTTTCTAACGTATAAAAGGTTCTCAATTTTTTTCAATTCTATAAATCTCAAACATTAGACTCTCTACTTTATTGGATTGTATTGCAACATAATAAACTGCGAACCAGCGATGTTACAATTTTTTTATTACCTTTTTATCAAATAAGGTGGAAAGTTCCCAGAAAAATTCAAAGTTTTTTAGTGAAGAAAAACAATATCAAAACATTGCTGTGTAATAGTTCCTCAATAGAGTGTAACGGATATGAATGTAATGCGATTCATGAAAAACTGATTTTCTCTTTCCCTCTCTCTCCTCTTTCTCTCATCTATGTTTACTCTGTCATCTTTCCTGTTACTGTTAATTGATCTTATCAGTAATCGACAGCTAACATTCCACTCCGCAAACTGTTCATGAGAAGTCAATCTCTCCTTACATCCTCCTTTAATCTCCCTTTTCAGATGCTAAATTTAGACAGATGCTAAATTTAAAAAAAAGGAAAAACTTTTGACAATATAAGCATCTAATCAGCCCATTTTACTCCACCATTCTTTATGTACTGACATCAGAAATCGCAAAACTTAAGAATTACATCAGACGGTCAATGATAGCAATAAAATATAATTTCCATTGATGCTAAAAAGACCACTACTACATACGCATAAAAACCTTTCTCACTACGTAATAGTATAATAATCAAACATTCTAATAAATTAAATAAACATTTTACATTTGTAGGGAAAAATTTAAACAAGACATGTTCACTCCATGAATTTCTCTGTGTTCAAACACAATTTATATTTCAAATGAAATCACTGTCATACTGGTGATAATTAGTCATTAAGCGTAATGAAATGAAATAAATTAGGAAAACAGATCACGTATGAACGGTAATGACAGATTCGCTTGCATTCATATTGTAGGAGGCGGTAATAAAAGTTAAAAATAAGGAAGGTTCGAGGGAAAGTGCTTTCTGTGAAGCATGAATAGTGCAATTGAGAATTGGACTATTTGTACTTCAGGAATTCACCCAGAAATTTTTCAAAGAACTAAAAATAGGCAAACGACAACGGTGGAGGTAAGAACCCAAGTTGAAGTTACTTAGAAAGTACAGAGAAAAGGAGAGAAAGAATAAATGAAAAGATCAATGTCAAATTTCTGTCGAATCTTTGTGAAGCAAATAGTAGAACTTAACTGGACTAAACATACATGTACTGATTAATTATCAGTATATAATTACTGCACGTACATAAATTGACTGTCAGCAATTTAAAGGAATAAAGACGAATAAACTCCTTTTTAGAGGCCATTCTTCCACATGTACTGGCAACTTTTCATAGTGGTTGTCTTCGATAATATGGATTTAAGGAAATTGCATTGGATAAGCCTTTGCCTAAAATTGATATATACTGGTGATAATGGCGGTAAAGATGAGAAAAGATACGGGAATGGGAAGTAGGCACTTAAAAGCCGTGGATAGCAAAGGCAACCAGTTCCTTAAAAAATTAGAAACAAGAAACAGTTATAGGAACAGAATACCGGCATAGCACTTGAAAAAAAAAACAGCAAAAGTTTGAAATGTTCAAAATAATTCAGAAATGAAGAAAAAAATATTTGACTCGAGGAGTACCAGAAATAGAACAGTATGGAGTATTGAATAGAATACACTACTCAAGTAATAAAGAGGCACGAATTTAAATTTGCTCGTCTTTGGTAAATTGTAAGGATTAGAGGGGCGATATTAACACTTTTTAAATGAATCCATGCTTTTATATTTGTAGAGAAAAAAATAAACAGAAGTGGATTTGTTGAGGAAGAAGGCGAAGGAAGTCAAATGAAAATAGAAAAACTCGTAATAAAGGTCATTTGTATCACAGTAGCCACTGTGTTGCTAATGTTTTACATGTTCAAAAGTATTTGAAATATTCTTCTTGAAGGTGAAGTTTTAAAGTAGTGCTTAATTGCTAACCGAGTAATTCCTTTAAATGAACAGAAATATGTACTGTTTAAAGGATTTGTTCATAAAGAGCACAAGTTCGGATTTCTTTCACTTTCACTTTTTTTAAAATCATTTACTGAATTGCAATTGAAAGCTGACATTTAGTCGAGAAGTTGTGCTATTTTAAAGTTTATAAAGACCTGATTTGGGAATGATATGAAGAATGTAGAAAAGGAAAGGTTTCCAATTTAAGCAAGAAAAGTGTTTCGTTGTATCATTTGTTAAAGAGAAGAGATTTGAAGGAAAGATCTAATATAAAGAAGAACAACATACATTTTATCTTTTTACATAACTACTTCAATTCTTTGTAAAGCAGAATTTTCAAGTGGAAAAATTCTGCATTCAAGGAGAAATAAAAGATAATGCAGAACGAAAAAAAAATAAAGCTAGTTGCAGTTTTGCTGCTTTATAAAGACTTTAATATACATATATATCAAAACATGCTCTAATGAATTACAAAAAATACAAGTAGAAAAGGTAAACAGCAACATGAACCGTAAATAAAATGATTTAGACTGAAACCGGTGAATGAGGTCTTGAACAAAACTTCTTTTTTTTTGAATGTTTTATCAATAAATATATAAGATCATTTGAAAATATCCTCATAAAAACATGAAGAAGATCAAAATAACTATTAAATTCGCTGTTTTGTGTTAAAAAAGTTTTTCAACCTTTCCGCTCTAAAAAACAAAAGGAAAAGTTATTACATTCCATCACGGCAAACAAACTTGCATTTCAGGATGCGGTCGTTGCTTTCGTTTCGATTGTTTTCTATACAACCGGTATCCAGTAGGAAGCATTTGGTGGTAAGTACAGTAGTGTCTGACGAGGTGTATGTCCACAGAAACCGCCCATACAGCTTTGTTGGTAATACATATTGACGGATAACTGATAAGCCAACCTGTCAACCATTGATAATGTCTGTCGTCGCTCATGTGACATTAGGCAAACCGTACTCTCGCTGATTACTCGATATAATAACAGCAGGTAATCATACTTATCCTGAACTACAAACTTTGAATTTAAATTAAGGCTTAAATTTAACTGTCACTAGCCGGATATCCGTTGCAGACAATTTTAGTGGCTCATTTTCTAGCTTTTTATCTTTCAATATGCTCCTACCTTTCCGCAGAAGTTGAGACTTTTTTATGCATATTTGTGGAATTCATAAGATTTGAAGGAAGAATTTTAGAAAGACACATTCTGATGGAAAGAATAATTTTAGGGAAAGTAAAAGAAAAAATTTGGAGATAGATCTATTGATAACAAATGTTATAAGAATTAAAACGTTACGTAAAATACAAAAGGTATAAATTTACAGTCAGTAAAAAAGAATAAAGCCTAATTTTTTTTTTCAACATGCGTCAAAATTTTTAAAATGCCTAAAATGATTAAGAAAACAGTAACCTGGTCCTCAGTACCGAAATGATTGTCAAGATAAGCGCGCAGTTTAACCTCCTGGCTACTAACTTCTGGAAAATCAATAAAAAAACGGGAGCACATATACCGCTCGAGCTGACGGCATTTGTTTGGCCTAGCTGCTTTATAACCGCGAGTAAGCAAGTGACAATATTTTAACAGTCCTCCACCACGGATCTCCTCAGGCCTTCGTGTGTCAATCAATCGTTCGTTCAGATGCTGCAATGCCTGAAAAATAAAATTCTTTTAAAGGATGCAAGTTGTTGATACTACGTCATAAGCCATCTAAAATACAACATTTTTCTTCTATCAAGTTTCATGTCCTAAGGTAAGGGCATAATAATCTGACTCCATCGCCTAGTAATAGGCCTTCTTTATTATTACAGTGAATTACTTTATCTGTATGCGAGAACTTTCTTCATTGAATTAAGCCGGAAATTAATAAAATCCTTTCATTATACGTTCCAACCATTTCTCTTATTCGCATCTTTCCTGATGAAAAGGCCTTTTGAAAACTATTTATTGCTACTGTCCATTTTATTATTCCTCTGAATTGAAACATTAATTCTCCTTATTTTTTTAAATAGGATGAAGATATGAAAAGGGAGCGATTCTCAAAAGCACTGTAAAAAAGTTATCAAGGAGGGATGATGAAGCATTTCTTTGAAATAATAATGTATCGTCACTTTTGTATCGCTCTTACTTTACTTTTCTATTCTTGAAGTAATCTTAATCTTGAATCAAATTAAACTGTAGTGCCACACTAGTTTCCGTCATTTGAGTTTCGTTTTTTCGATACATCATTTCAAAAAAAAAAAAAAATGATATCATAAAAAAAGTCCTAGTACTCATATAATATTGTAACACACGATAGAATAACAAAATTCTGATGAAATCAAAGTCTTTTGAAAGAAACAAGAAAGTAACCTTGTTAATGTCACCAAACATGCTTTCAGCGGTGATGATTGGTTTGGGATGGTCGGGTCGGTCCAATAAAACATCCAAGGTAATTTGGAAACTGTCAACACTAAATTCGAATTGACGTCGCATTCGGTCTACGAATTTTAACTCGATACACCGTCCGAAATCATTGTGAAGCGAGAACAGTGACCAGCGATCACCATCCGAAACTTTAACCATTTTTCGGATATAAATATCCTTCAATGTATTGGCCGATATCTTTTCTTTGTTAGTCGATTCTGGCATTAATTGCACCATAGCATCAAAAACAGCCGATCTTACCTAAAATTACCTGTCTTCATATTGGTTTACCAATTTGTTAACTTACCTGACAGAAAGTGATCTGAAAGGTCAAAATAGTGATGAATTTTGGAACGTTACTCATCTCGGATAAAGTAAATAGACATTACTGCCTTAAATGTAATCCAGCAAATAGAGTAATCAAAAAGTAAACAATGTTAAATTTCAATTAATCTTCATAAATTGCAATAATCTATTTGAAGATGATAATTATGACATCAGTTACGACACTTCTTTCACATACAATAATCTTTCGGAAGAAGCAAAATTCAACAAATTTATATTTTCAATGAGATTGTGCAGGACAGAAAATGGATGTATGAAAACTTCGTAACTTCGTTTTATATTTGAAGTAACTTTTTAAATTCGATGAATTCGTAGTGATAAATTTTTATATTCTCCAAAATTTTAATGTTATCAGTTGACAATTTCAAGTTTGACAGTATAATTTTTAAGCCGAGGAAAAAAAAAAAGATTGGGACTAACGCTATCGAAGCTTTGTTCGCTTTCGAAACTCATTGGAAAAATCAAGTCGAGATCTGAGTATGCGAATTCCTCCGTTGCCACGACGTATGATGCAGCACCACCGTTCATTTTTACATTTTTTGGACCAATACCTGCTGCGCGCAGACTATCACGTACACAGATGATCAAATCATGTAGACGTACGCTGAGCGTTGGAAAATTGCCTCTTCCGTGAATTTCTACCTGTTCATTGAGCACTGAGCGTAATCGTTCCACCTGAAATAATCTTAATGCCAAAACAAAACAATTTACTGTGACTAAGTATAAATTCAAAAATAATAAAAGCATTATTACTTATTACTTAGTATAAATTACTTATTGTAAAAGTTTCCGAACTTTATTTAACAGTGATTCTGGCACACAAAAAGCAATTTCATATTTCAGAATGACTCTAAACTGGGTTAAAAATGACATAAAAATCTCTTACCAGGGAATTAATTCTTTTTTTTAAAAAAGGCTATTTTTAAGTGATTTTTGGATTTTAATATAGCTCTTTTCCAAATAATATAATCAAAACTTTCCAAATCAAAATTTTTTTTTTTTTTTGCAAAATAACGTTTTGGTTTTAGAAGGAACATAAATGTGAAAAAAAAAACAAATGAATAAATGAAAAGAAGAAAGAAAAGAGAAGAAATACATTACTTGTGCTGAATTAAGCTCTGTTGTGCTTGATAACGAATAAATTTGAGAGCTACATTCCGAGGTCATTTTTGAAGCAACCAAACTTGACGATGGATTGTACTGAAATGCATGTAAAACATCGTTAAGAGATGAACAACGAAATTTTATGCAAATTTTCTCGGACGCATATTTTAAAGCAGAACAGAAATATTAAAATATAAAGCATTTTTCTTTGCCTTTTAATGCATAAAGTAGAAATTTCCATACCAGAGATTAGCATTTTGCATTTATATCGTCTTGGATTTTAAATCACAAATGATAATTAAATAAATGGCATTTTGAGGAAGATATAATTATAATAAATACATTTCACTCACAATATATCAGATTGACAATGGTGTATAAAGAATACAGTACTGCTGGAAGTGATAAAAAATGATACGGTCAGGAATGACATATGCAAACAAATATGAAAGTGTTAATTCATTCAGAAACATATATGAAGCGAAAAAAAAAAAAAAACAAGAGTGAATGAATTGAGTTACATTTCATATTACTTATTTGCAGTTTACTTTTTGGCATATAGCTGATTCTCTAATATTAAAGGGATAATATTCTGGTAGAAGCTTAAGTACATTTTAAAAATTTATATAATAGGAGCTCGAAATTTTAAAGGCGCAAAAAGAGCTGATTCAATAAACTGTAATTTAGTGTGTGTGTGTGCAAAGTGATGTGATAGTAAGAAAAGCTGCATAGGATGTAGAATGAATGATAAGAAAGCAATCGGACACTGATCTTTGCCTTTTGTTAGCTTCAGTGATGGCGGAATAATCTTTGTCCAAGCTATAATCACAGCAGCATTGCTAAATCTAAAAGCCATTTAGCTGATCAGTTCAATAGCTGTGTGCAAAGTTGAGCCACGTAACTGTTACTTAGTTCCTTCACACGATCCTACTACTCCTACTGCTGCTGTTGCTGCTATTAGAGCAATAAAGGAAGAAGAGAAATGGCAATACAATAATGTAAACGATGAAATACGGATAGTATGATGGTATGTGGTGTGGTGTGGTGTGGTGTGGTGTGATGTGATGTGATGTGATGTGATGAAGGTGGCTTCAGGATTGATTTATGTCGGAGAGGCGGTAACTATAGGTGCATGACAGGTTCTCTTCTTTTCTTGGCTTTGTAAGCCGGGATTGGGAAAGCTAAGCAGCACTCTGGATAGGTTTGCCAACGATAGTGGTAGATAGTATGTTTACGATTTCATTTCATGAAATTACCCATCTACTGCCTGCTGCCACTATTTGAACATGTTATTTCTGAATGGGTAGAAGGGAATGACTTGACAGGATGACCTCGTTGAATTTCAATTTCCATTTCAAGTTCATGACATAAGGAGCACTAACAACAGAAAAGTTCAAATGAAAAATATCCAATAGCTAATCCGAAGTATCCGATGAGGAATGCACATAATACACGATGACAATAACCTTTTTTTGCTTGCTTACCTTCCCTTTCTCCTCCTTCATACCCTCCCCCTATGGAACTCCATTCGCTAAAATAAACGCCTCACTGATTTCCTAAAGCATGAATGGATCGGGCGGTAAAATACGAAATTTATTCAAGCTCACATATACCTAACTTTCAATGTTATTATTAAGAATTTCATCTTTTATCAAAATTTTTCTGCATAAACGATATGAAGCCATCAGCAAATATGAAAACTGTCAGCAACAAACATTCCATATTCATGAAATGTGTCTAAAAAGCAGCGAGTATCATTTAGAATTAGATTAAAATTGTATGAATTAAAGTGAAATTTTGTCAAAGATTAAAGACTTTCTATTATAGACACACTCCTATTACTGTGAAACATTAAACACACAAATAAGATGCGCTCATCACTTAAAATGCAAAAACAAATGCGAATAATTGAAAGAAATCGGTTTTCAAATGAAATATCTACATTCCGTTTCTTATATTTTCATCCGGCAAATTTTTCTGCAAAAAAAAATCGGCAAATAAAGTTACATATGTCAGTAATAGCAAGCTTCCAGTTTCAGGGGAGGGAAAAGAATCTTCATTCTAAAGTCCCATTTCACTTCTCAGATCCAATCAGAACCGATCTTTGCAGGTGCTGAAATCAACACTATGACTTCGCCGCCTATATTCTTGCATTACGTCACTAAATTGAAATATTTTCACCTTAAAAGGCTAATGACGTCAATAATTAAAGAAGTTGCCACATCAAAACATATTTACAGAGGCACATTTTTCGAGATTAATGAGATGTGAGTGGGTGGACTCTAACTTTGTGCCTATTTACAAGCTTAAGCAATAAGCTAGAATCCACCCACTTCCATCTCATATCAAATTCATGCAAAGAGCTCGCTTGTGGGATGGAAAAACACTTTCTGTTTAAAGGGTCGACCGAAAAGGCTTGGCCTCTCTGCTCTTTACATAAGAAAGTGAAGAATAACAACAATGCCCACAGGCACTAACTTCATCAGATTGCCCTATGGCCTACATTTTTATCCTTTGAGCTTTCTCAAAATGATATCATTCTTAGTCCACTTGCCCACCTTCTATCTCTCTCTCTTTCTCTTTGCTAGTTTATTGGATATTTCTTTTCTCATTTTAAAGATTAATAAAGCGAAACACATATTTCTGTCAATTAAATTCAAGCCGACTATTCAAAAGATTCTTGGGAACCTGGCAAGTTTTATCAGCAACCCTCTCTCTCTCTTTCTTTTTCCCTTTTTCTTTTCGTCTATACAAATATACCAATTAAATTAATTGGTGTTAAGTTGGGACTTCAAAATAAAACAAAAGGCAGTATTGGCAAGCGGTCCTCACTGTACTGTTTCGGTTCAAAGGCTGTACAACTGCCATCCTTGAAATGCTTCGAGAACGCATCATCGATGACGTCATCAGATTCGTGTCTCGTCACGTCACCAACGTTCTGTTTATGCACTTCTATCACCCTCTATGTTTGTAGGCATTATTTTGAAGTCCACAATGTTAGATGTTGCTAGAAGACATATATATATATTAGAAGAAATTGAACTGAAATGACTTTTGCAATATCTTTGATATCATTCTATTTGATTTAACTTAACTGCTTTGACTAAATTCTAAAATGTTGTTTTATACTAAAGAATAAATATTGAATAAGCAATTCTAAGCAGACAATTTAAACATTTCTAATCCTGTGGAGGAGTTGTTGCATCACTCATCTGACTTTTTTCCAACTCGATAAGATGACAAATTTTTGGTTTGATCAAATTTACAAGATTGATTCGATAAGATTACAATTAATTGCAATTTAATGATAAATGATCGGCGCTTTGATTGTTCACTGAAAAGAAAGCACTCAAGCAAATTGAATTACAACTGCTGTAAGCATTGAAGGAGAAGTAGAAAGAGCAGAAACAAACAGGCAACACCTTATTTCTTTTATAAGAATCACTCATATCAGCATCAGTGGAAGTAACTGTGTATTCAGAAAGTAATATCAGCAGCAAATCATTTATGCTGGTAACTGATAGAATCATTGATGATTAGAAATCAATTTTTTGTTCAAATTATGTGTCGAAACGTTTCATCGAGAAGACTCAGAGAAGGCTACACTCCTTAATACCTCGTCCAGTTTTGCTATCAGAGGATATATATATATCACTGTCACTTTTACATCTTTTGTCATTGTTATCATTAAGATCATCATCACCGCTCTGATATGCATCCCCGCCAAGGCTGTCATCCGTTGTTGGCGAAGATGGAGGATGATGAGAACAAAGAAACGAGAAGTAGGAAATTTTCCGTTTTCATAAAAAGTAATATTTCGCTGCAGTATAAAATTCATAATGGTAGACATTTTGCGAAGCTTAATATAATGTTACTTGAATAATCAAACAACTACCGCAAGATTTGAACAGTTTTAAGTTTGTTTAAATTTCAATTAAATTAATTTAACTCGTATATTAAAATCAGTATATTATGCAGAAGTATGCTTATGAAAGTTAGAGAAAGAAATTATGCTTACCATCAATTCGATTGTTTTGTTCTTTGTTAAATGATTCCTACAAAAATATGAAAAACAAAATTATATTGTAAGGAATATTCTAATTCTATATTTATAACTTGTAGAAATTAGGATTAAGTTGAAGCTGCAGAACCGCTGATAACTGAACCGGAATATAAGCTGCAACAAGGTACAAGTAGTAGAATTATTTTTTTCTCTTGCTTACAGAACTTCAGGTTTAAAAATTGGAAGCCAACTGCTATGTTAGACTTTCAGTAAGAGCGAAGACCAAACTAGCAAACAATTGTCATATGCTATGCCATCCATAATTCTTAATTAAAATAAGTGTAGTCAACATTTCGCCGCAGTATAAAATTGATAATGGTAGGCATTTTGAGAAGCTTAATGTAATGCTGCTTGGCTAATCCAACAAGTACTGCGATATTTTGTTATTCAGAAAATTTGAACAATTTTAACTTCGCCCAAACAATAACTGATAAAAGACTTGGGTTACTAACGTGAGTTTTGTTTATTAGACAAATTATGTGAAAAGATTAATTTGTCAGAATATTAAATATGAACGAAAAAGAAGTAAACTTCTCATAAGTTAATCTCTCGAATTATAATTTTCGCATTCATAACTTTTTTTTAGTAAATTCTGGAAATTCATTTTTAATAAATGCTCCTAAAAAGAAATGAAGAATTCCAAATACATCTTCAATTACTTGTTATGCTATTGCTGATTTCGGTGAAGTATCAAAGGTACTTTCGAAGTGAATTAAAAATGAATGAATAATTTTTGAGATATTTGCAAAAGAAACTTGCTATTTTCTTTTCTCTCATAATTAAACCATTTCACTGCCACGCAAAGTAAATAACGCTTGTAACATATCAGTGAATGTGCAAACAGGTAAACAGATAAATAGGACAGTTAAACATATAAATATAAGAGAATGGGAAATAAGATCACAAGAAGATAAGAGTTAGACAGCTGTGCAATTATTATTTAGCATTTATGGCTCAGAAACAAAAATTCAAATTTCGATCAAGAGGGCAAGCGAAAATG